GCTGGAATTTGAACCTGGAGCTGGTCCCTCTGCCCTCCCTGCCCTGCTGGGGCCTCCTCCCCCTCCACTGCATGACGTGAGCGGGCACCACGCAGGGCTCTCCCTTTGCACCCGGAAAATGACCAAATGACCGCAGTAAAACCAAAGTGCAGCCTGGGCCCCGGGGCCCTCGGGGGCTGCGTGGCTCCCCTGCCCCAGTCAGCTAAAGAAGCCCCCGCTCTCCCCACTGGAGCGGGTCTGTTGGCGTTCCCTCCTGAGGTGCCTCCTGACCCAGGCGCCAGTGCTTCGACCCACCTCCCTGCTGCCCCTGCTGCTCCCCAGGGAGCTGGAGGCCATTGGTTCCCAGCCTAGGCTCCCAGGGGGAGGGGCCTGTGTCACAGGCTGTGCGTGTCTGTGTATGCCCGCAGGCCTGGGTTTCACCCAGGTGTGTGTGCACCTGGACACACGTGCCCAGCGCCCTTGGCTCAGCCCGCCAGGAATTCCATTAAGCAAACACTCGGGCTCACCCACTGAGGTCATGAGCATTCCGGACATTCTCCACGCACAGATGGACAGAGGAATCTGCCAAGCCCCTACCCCTCCTCTCAGAACCAGGACCCTCAGCAGCAGGTGGGAGGAGGTGGCCCAAGGGCCCCAGGCCCCTCACACCTCCTGGGAGCCCTCTGGTCAAACCAGAAAGTCCTGGGCCACTCCCTGCCCTGGGTACCAGCACTCCTGACCGTGACCTACCCCAAGCACTGAAACCACTTGCTGGTGACGTTTGACAGGCAGGCAGTGTGGGCCCAGAGATCCCCACAGGGCACAGACCCCCCAGGACACGTCAGTCTTGCCCACACCAGGCTTTACTCGTGCCCCAAAGGGGATGGGTCCCTGTGGACTTGGCCCTGGGCTTTGGGTCCCCAGGGTCCCCTGGCTCCAGCCTCACCCTATGCTGCCTTGCCCTTCTCTCAGGGCCTTTGAATGTGCCATTCCCTCTGCTTGAAGGCGATTCCTCCCCCCGAACCCCCTTCAGAGCCCCCAGTACACCCTTCTTACAGCTCCACCCCAGAGAGCCTCTGCTGGCTCGTCCTGGGGGGGTCCCTGTGGAGGACCAAGGGTCTGGGGTGAGATGGGGCCGGGGTGATGGCCAGCTGCGACGTGGGGCAGGGGTGGTCCTGGCGTGTCCGGGAAATCTGTCCAGGCCATCAAGGCTCGGATCTGGGGCCGGGGAGGAGGACACCCAGGCCCCAAGCAGGTGTCAGCTGGCTCTCCATCCCCTCAGGTGTGGGCCGGGCACCAGGCCACAGTGAGAGCTGCCCTTCCAGCACCGGCCACCACTGAGGACGCCATGAGCCAGTCTGTGAGCTGCTGCCCTGGCGCTGCCAAGTGAGTCCCCACCCCCCACCAACCCCCACCCACCAGCCACTGAGCAGTCCCCAGGGAGGGGTGCAGTGTGGGCCCCCGCCCTCACCAGCCCCTCCCCTGCAGTGGCAGCCTGGGCCGGTCTGACGGTGTGGCCAAGATGAGTGCCAAGGACCTGTTTGGTGAGTGAGGTTTGAGGACGGAGGGTCTCGCCCGCCCCCCACTAGAAGGCTGTGCTGGGCCCCCCCCCCAGGGGAGATGCAGGTCAGCCCTGGGGGCCCAGAGGAGGCTCCTGAAGTCGAATCACCCAATGGCTCAGGTCCCTCCCCAAAGCCCAAGCGCGAGGAGCCCTCCCCCCGCCGCGCGAAAGGGGAGAGGCCTTTACTAATTCAGGGGCATCAATATTGATCCGGCCGGGCCGCACTCCTCACTGCAACCGGATCGCAGAGGGGCACTGAGTGCCAGGTGTCTGCTTCAGGAGTGTGGGCCTGGCCAGCCCCCCCTGCCCAGCTCTGCCCGGCTCCCCCAGGCATCCCCCAGCCGGCACCGGCTCATTGTGCTTTTGGACACGGTGCCCAGCCCGGAAAGCAGGGAATCCCAGGGAGGGCAGGGAGGTGTTTGTGGCAGTTGGTGGGGTGGGGAGAGCCAGTCACTCGCCCCAAAGGGTGGGCCCTCTCCCGGCCATGACAGACTTCCAGTCACAGGTATGCCACCCCTAGTCCGAGAGGGCGTCCTGGGGATGGAGGGAGGTCCGCATCCTGCTGGGCCCTTGAGTCTTTCCTGGTGGCTACGAGGGGCCTGCAGAGCAGCATCTCTCGCCCGCACGCCACCCTCCCCGTGGCCCCACCGGGGGTCCAGTCCACTTGGATGGAGGGCTGTGGGGTCCTCCTCTAAGGTGAGTGACTGGCCTCTCCCCGTTCAGAGCAGAGGAAGAAGTACTCCAACTCCAACGTCATCATGCACGAGACCTCCCAGTACCACGTCCAGGTGAGGTGGCCCCAGGAGCACCCCTTCTCAGCGCTCCGAGGTTCCTGGGCGGGGTCAAACTGAAGCCCAGGAAGGAGGAGTCAGCCCAGGCTCTGACACCCACAACAGGCAGCCAGAGCCAGGGACTGCCCCACACCTGTCCTGGGCTCAACTGGAGGGGGGGGCCCTCCCTCAAATCCTGGGGAGCTTGCAGTCTGTGGGAGACAGGGAGCTCTGGAGTTATGTCAGGGGAGAGAATGCCAGGACATGCCCCTGGGAAGGCCCAGTGGGAAGGAAACTGTCGCCCTGGCCCCAAACAAGGAACTGGACTAGGAGGGAGAGGGTGGGACAAAGACAGCTTTTCTCGAGCCCCTTCAGGGAGGGCCTCGGATGCCTGACCTTGGCCAGGGCTGGGAGAGTCGAGCTTGGTTAACCGCACTGGCGAGCAGCTGCCAGCTCAGGAGGGTTTCCTCCAAGGCCAATTTTAATTCACACTCAGAACTCAGGAAGTATGTTTCTTAAATGACCTTCCTGTTGCTGGCAACTGGCCAATTTCTGGTTCCTGGTCATTGTCCACACCTGCAGGACCACAGGGCTAGGAATGGCTGAGGAGGGAGGAAGGTGGGGGGACCCTGGACCAGGAAGGTCGGGAGACCCTGGACCAGGAAGGTCGGGAGACCCTGGACCAGGAAGGCGGGGGCCATGGACCAGGATGATGGGGGCCATGGACCAGGATGATGGGGGCCATGGACTAGGAAGGTGGGGTCCTTGGATCACAAATGTATGGGGCACTGGACCAGGGTGGTGGGGGGCCCTGGACCAGGAAGGTTAGTATTTCGCTCCCCATAAGGCCCTCTCTGCCCACAGAGGTCAGGCAAGTCACTGCTTTCTGAACCTCAGTTTCCTCATCTATACAATGGGTCCACAGAGACACTGGGAGTCCCTTGGGCTCTTGAACTGGGCTCTCCCTGCCAGCCTGGGCAGGCTGGGGCCTTTCTATGCTGCCAGGCTGGTGACTGCTCCTGGCTCGGTATCCACGGTCAGGGCACGGAGGGTGGACGGGTCAGCTCCTCTCTTCCCCAGGTGGCTTTGCCACATCTGGGGTAGGGCAGAACTCTGACCCCCACTTTTGTGAGGAACCACCTGTGCCGCCGGGTCCTTCCCAGCTTCTCACCTGGACTTTGGTCCGAGCTGGCCTGTGGGAGGACCCTGGCCCAGAGGCGCCTCTTCTGCTCGCCAAGCTGCCAGCAGAGCTGGGGCTATGGGTGGGGTTTGCCTGGCCTCCCAGATGGGAAAACTGAGGCACAGAGAGAGGGGGATCGGTGGGGGTATCAGACCCACCCTGACAATGAGGAGCCACTGCAACCACGTGGGTTTTTTCCTTTTTCTAAACTGGCAGACAGAAAAATTGGCGTTGAGGGTGGGCATGTGCCGGTCTGTGGTAGATTCATGTCGTCACCGTCATGAATGCGGCTGTTAAGGACACGGCAAAGCTCCATCACCCCAAAGCTGCCTCGTGCTGACCCTGTGTGGTGGCAGCCTTCCCCCTGCGCCGCCTCGGGCAGCGCTGCTCTCCTCCGTCACCACCCTCATGTCCCTTTGAGAATCCCTGTAAATGAAACTGTCCAGCGTATAACCACCCTTGGTCTTCGGGCTCGTAAACTTATTTGAAGACAACACGTGTGTAGAGCAAGTCTCCTCTATAGCACTGGGCTGCAGCGGATCCTTGTGTGACCCTGCGGCTGTCCCCAAGCATAGGCGCGTGTCCCTCGTGGACAGTGGGACCTGTACGGACATTGTCAGGCGTGCCGGCTAGAAATATCTGGCTTGTCGACTCAAGGGCTTGACTGTCTTTTGATGAGCAGAAATGTTTAATTTTGATGACATCTGATCATATCTGTTTTTCCCGTTTGTGGTTGTGTTTTTTTGTTGTTGTTGTTTTTGTAATTGCTTGGCCCAGGCTCTGAAGATTCCTTTCTGTGGTTTCTTCTAGATGCTTCATAGTTTAGGCTTTTACATTTCAGTCTACGATCCATTTAAAATTCATTTCTGGGTATGGTGTGAACTCAAGGCTGATTTGGGGGTGTGGGACTCAAGGCTAATTTTTTCCCTATAGGAATGTGTGGCTATATTACAATAAAAAAGACATTCTTTCCACCACTGAATTGCTTTGGAGCCTTTGTCAAAATCCAGTAATTAGACATGGTGGGCCTGTCCCTGGACTTTCTCTGTCTCGCGGTTTGTTTTCACTCATTGCGGCTTTATTGTCTATCTTAAAATCAGGCAATGTGAGTCCTTCCACTTTCTTGTTTTCCTAAGGTTTTCCTGGCTATTCTCAGTTCTTTGGATTTGCATTCACACTGTAGAATGAAATGGTCCAGTTCTACCCCCCGAAACGTCGGCTAGAGTTTTGATTGGTGTTGAGTCAAACCTACGAGTTGAGTTAGTGAGCAGCGAGCCCTCCGACCCCTGACCACGTGTCACTCACTCGCAGGGGCTCCTCTAGTGCTTCTCAGAGGCGCTCTGTACACCGTAGAGTTCTTGCATATCTTTTGTTGATACTCCTTGGGTATTTTGTTTTTATATACTGTTATAAACGGTATTTTTTTGTTGTTGTTTGTTTTTGTTTTTTTAAAGATTTTTATTGGGGAATTGGGGGGATGGGAACAGTGCTGAGGAATTGGGGGAAGGGGAACAGACAAGTTGCTGTCGTTTTGTTCTTCAGTCTAGTTGTGGAGGA